GATGAAAAGGGATGTGAGAACAGTGTAAACACAATCTTGTGAGTACCAAAATCCCATTTTATTTCATGGTGAGATGTGTGGTGTTAGATCAAATTAATAGGGGGTTGGAACGTGTTTCGTTTCTAGAAGATCCCAATTCCATAGAGGGAATGGTGCTTGTGGGACGCGTCCTGTGGGGAACCCCTCTGAATTCTATCATCGCATGCTGGTTTTAAGCAACCTTGTTATATCATCTTACAGGGGTCTTCACATGTAATCAGTTATCACGTGAGAAGGGTGTCCATTTACCGGACCCGATTCTTCAAACTTTGACCGAAGATGCATATGTTGGACCAGTAATCATGTATTAGTGGACACTATTTGGAGCTGAATTTCTTCAACCAAAAATTACTATACATCTCTTCGTGGATATAGTCTTGGCCAATGGGGTAAAAAAGGCCTGGTCTTGGTCCATTGAGAAACAAGCCCAGCCCAATAACAGCATTTATAGTCCAAGATTAGCTTTTTAGGAAATTAGGAAATTAAATTCATGGATTGGATGGATCCCAAACCCAAACCTAGTACTTGTTCTGTGCTATGTTTGATTGGATTATTCGAATTGTTCTTTTTTCCTTTTTTACTTTTTTGTGTGTGAGTATTGGGGGGTGTGGAATAGTTTGCCCTAAAATAAACTAGGAAAGATCATCAATTTCCAATGTCCCTAAATTCAAATTCATACATTATAGATAGCTTAACTATATGTGAAGGATGTTGTTAACAGGGGTGTCAATCGGCCAGTTTTGGGTTGGATCTGATCCAAATATTATTAAATTAAATTTGGATGGTCTGTATAATTATTGGATTGGATCAATCCAAAATAAATTGGTCCATATTCTTATTGGTCTGAATTAGACTTAAACCAAATTTCTAATAATTCGATTATAAGGCCAAATCCTTGTCCAATTTAAAACCGGTCAAAACTGAAGCCAGCATAAAATCACTTTTATGAAAGTATTTTTACATGAAAGCATTTTTACGAAAGAACTTTTATGGAAGTGCTTCTACGAAAGCACTTTTTTGGAAGTATTTTTATAAAAACATTTTTACAAAAGCACTTTTATGCAAGTACTTTATAAAAACACATATATGAAAGAAACTTTTGCAAAAGTGCTTTTATAAAAGTATTTTTACTAAAGCATTTTTACAAAAGTACTTTCATGAAAATACTTAGTACTTTTATAAAAGCACTTATATAGAAGTACTTTTATGAAAGCATTTTATGAAAGTACTTTCATTAAAATACTTTTACAAAAGCATTTTTATGAAAGTACTTTTATTAAAGCACTTATAAAAGTGCTTTTTCAATTCCAAAAGGGTATATTTTTATAATTTCAGATTTCTTCATTTTAATATATTTTATAATTTTTATATATTCTATTTTTTATATAAAATTTTTGATATTTCATTCGGTTTGGATTGGTTTCAATTTAGTCTATTTACATTTTATGGATTGAATTGGGTCCAGTCCATTAATGAATTCAAATTTGTGCCCCATAATGTCCCACAATACATCCCTGCCATGTATTAGGAACATCTCCCGAAGATGACATCATTGATCTCCCAAAGATGATATCATCGATTTCTGATACTATCATGGGGAGATGCCACAATATATGAAAGGGATGTGATGTAGGACATTGTGGGGTGCAGATGTGAATTCTCCTTAATAGTCCGTAATTGGGCCTTGGAAGCATAGGCTTGACCCATTTTTTTTTCTACAAAGGAAAAACAGGCAGTAGATATATTTGACATGGAATAATATTCTAGAAACTCAGAGAAACGGAAAAGGGGTAAACCATGATCCGGAAGTTTCTTGGATGAAGTGGATTACTGTAGACCTCACTGAAGACAAAAGTTGGAATGTGGAGACACTACAAGTGTAATGTGATGTGGGATATTGTGGGGCGCAGATGTGAACTTTCCGTTAATAGTCCGTAGTTGGGCTTTTTTTTTTTTACAAAAAAGAAACAGGCAGGAGATATATTTGACATGGGAATAATATTCTAGAAACTCAGAGAAACGGAGAAGGGGTAAACCATGATCCGGAAGTTTCTTGGGTGAACTGGATTACTGTAAACCTCACTAAAGACAAAAATTGGAATGTGGAGACACTACAAGTGTGATATGATGTGGGACATTGTGGGGCGCAGATGTCCGTAGTTGGGCCTTGGAGGCATGGGCCTGACCCATTTTTTTTTGTACACAGAAGAAGAAACAGGCAGGATATATATTTGACATGGGAATAATATTCTAGAAACTCAGAGAAAGGGAAAAGGGGTAAACCATGATCCGGAAGTTTCTTGGATGAAGTGGAATAATATTCTAGAAACTCAGACAAAAATTGGAATGTGGAGACATTACTGTAGAGCTCACTGAAGACAAAAGTTGGAATGTGGAGACACTACAAGTGTCATGTATCGAGAACGTTCAGGTGAAGAAGCGTGTTTCCGACTTCTCTACGCCCTTCGTCTTTTCCTTTTTTTTCCTGCTCGTTATAAAATCAGTTGGACTTGCACCCTCTCAAATTTGTGCAGTGACAACAACTTGTTCAGCTTAATTAGCTTTGGCGATTAATCATGGCTGCATCTGCATGCGGCGTCTTCAGCCCTATCTGCTCTTCATTCGCCTCTTCTCCTCTTTATTCTTCCCGGTCGAAGCGGACCGGTAGCTCCGTTGTCCCCATTTCTATTTCCTTTCCCTCAAGCTCCCGTAAATTTTCTCGACTACTGTCGATTGTGAAAGCTCAAGAGTCGGGTGATCACAACAAAGACAGTTCCACTTCCTTGGGAAGTTAGAGAAGAGGAGACGGAGGTGAAGATGAGGTTTGACATGCCTGGCCTCTCCAAGGAAGACGTTAAGGTATCGGTGGAGGATGACATGCTGGTGATCAAAGGCGAGAAGAGGAAGAAGACGGAGACGGAGGACGATAGTTGGTCCAGTAGGAGTTTCAGCTCTTATGATACTCGTTTCCTTCTTCCCGACAACGGCCACAAGGATAAGATCAAGGCGGAGCTGAAGARCGGTGTCCTCCTCATCTCTATCCCCAAGACCAAAGTTCACCGCAAAGTCATTGACGTTGATATTCAATGAGGTCTTATTATTAGTGTGTCTGTGTGTGGGGTCGAGCTACCCCCGTCTTTGTGTAGCTCATCCTATTTCTACGTTCTACCATATAAAAAAAAAAATTAGTGTAAGAAAGAAAAGTTTTATTAATATTTTAGACTTTCAAGGATGGGAGTTGGGAGGCCCTCGTCCTTGATGGCCCCTACAGCTGCGTTCTTCGTCCATAATGTGTGTGTGTGTGTTTTTTATATATTTTTCCTCAGATTTATAATAAAATTATGGTGAGTCACTGAGTTTGTGATATTTCCCCCACAGCTGGCCACTGCGTCCTTTGCAAAATAGCGATAGGCCAAAGAATTTCATATCATGCATTTCGATTGGTTTGTGCGAGAACTTGATCAAAATTTTGATGGTCTTGGCTATATAGCTCTTTCTGAATGATCTGGGCATTAGGATTAGGTTGGTTTGTATGATTGTATATATCCATATCTCTTAAGCATAACTCACCCATGTGATAACAAATCCTGGCAGGCATAACGGGAACTGACTCTGTGAGTCGCTTAATGAAGATTAAAAAGGAGGGAAAAGACACACTAGTCCTTAATAGGCTCCAGCAACAGAACAGAAAAGGTTCCAACATTGAGTAATTGTATTTTTGACAGAAAGAGAAAGATTGGTCGCTAGCTGTTTGCTTGGTGCATGGAACATGTTTATTGGAGGAGCGGTGCTCTGCTCGACCGACCGGCTGAGTCTGAGTAAGCAGCCTGCAGGGGAGGTGTGCATAACTTTCAAGATTTTGGACTATGACAGTCTCATTTTCTTCTTAATTTGTTTTTTTAATTGGATTGGATGTGTGTAATTGGGACAAGGACAAATCCTAATTATGGACTCCGGCACAATTAAGATGCATCGTGTACTCCAGGGCAATAATAGGTATTAATTGAGGTAACAGGTTAGGCTGTATTTGATTGCAATACAAATAAATTTGCACTGACAGTGTAAATTTTAACTCATTTTGTTTGATTATAGTATAAAAGAAATAAATTAAGGAACTGAATGGTATTCCACTATTCCCTCGCCTTACCATCGGGTTTCTTCCGGTGAAACTGAAACCTTAGATGTAATTAGACCTCACCACTCACCAAAACCTTTTACGTCGAATCAGGGCAGTGCTGTCAAATGTGGTTAAAAACCGGATGGTTAGAGTTAGAGCATTCAAACTGAGAATAAGGCGCCGAATATATATATAGAGAGAGAGAGAGAGATCCCTCCAATATGAATAAGCATGCATGCATGCTCCACCAATCACCATCCATTAATTCAATAAGTAAGTAGATGGTGCATTAATTCTTATTTGGATCCAGCAACCAGCAACCATTTATATATCGGTAATTAAGCCGCATATCCAGAGTGATACAGGATGTCCGATCAWTTGATAATTCAATAAAATCATATATGAGCGAGAATTGTGGAATTAGTGGTATCCATGACCATGCATGTTGCAGGGAGAAAAAGCATGGTGCGCTGCCATTTGCAAAAACAGTCGAATCCTAACAGCATCAACTTGCATTCATGTTGCATTGTGAGTTGGTGCATGTATTAATTTAATTGCTTTTTAACACTACTACATACATAAAAATCGTCCATCTTAATTAAATTCATACTTAAGGCTATGTTTCTCTCTTATTTTCTATCAAACCAAACACCGATTAAGTGGTGGACGTGTCAATACGTTGGTTCGTTTGCCACCCACCCTGAGTCCCTGACACCTCTCTGATCTCTCTCTCCCTGAACATGAGAGTGTAAATGAGGAGGAGGAAAAAAACAAATCAAATAAAAATCCAAGTATAAAAAAATAGACACTGCTACCTCACATGCATACATTACGTTAACCATGATAACAATTAATTATAATTAAATATATTTGAAGCAGATCATGGAAGAAACAGATGCAAATTATATTACATGACATGAGTGCCATACACTACTCTCTCGCTCCTTCAAATTACACAATAGGAAATTAAAATGAAGGAAAAAAAGAAAAAACAGGTAAAAAGCAATGGGAGATGCCCTCTCACTTCTCACATCAATCAAAGCTCCAGGCCCCCCGTTGTTTCTCCGAGTAAGCTTTCCAACTACTGGAGAGGCTCCATTGATCAGAATTAGCCACAGAAGAGACCCCATTTCCGCATTTGGCCACTGTTCTCACACTCTCGATCAACGCCTCGGTGCGAGCCTCCTGTGACAATATTTCCGTTAACTGTTCCGGGTTTATCACCAGCTTTACTTTCCAGACTCCCGTGCTATTACATCTAGGGAACACCTCGCTTTCCGATCTCTTTAGTATTCCTTGATTGTCGAAAGACATCCTGTAAGGTGTCACAAACGACGACGATAACATGCCGTTTGGTCTGAGGTCACCGTCTCTGGTGATTCGGGCTCCTCTCCCGGCATGCAGAGGTAGTAGATAGTATAATTCTCCGGAGAGGAGCTCTTCATTGTGGATGAGTGGTTGAGAGAAGAGATCGCGGCTCCGGAATATGCCGTAGCCTGGAAATTCGTTGGTGATGCACTCCGCTGTGATGGGTGCGTATAGCTCCATGATGCCGCCGTTAGATGTTACCACTTTGATCACCTCATGAACGCCTCCGATGCCACGAAACACGCAGTTTCCCATGTAAAAATACTGAAATACTACTTTAATGTGTGCGTTGTGCACTTGTGCCTTGTGCGTACGCTCTGTCTTCTTCTTCTTCTTCTTTTCCAAAATTTCTTATTAATTTCTTCACCTGAGAAAAATGATCAGAGAAACAATTTGCGTCGGCGAGTTGCTTCGCTTCTCCACCGGACACATCAGGTCAGCGTACGAGAGGCATCACCTTTGATTAACTGCTTTTGCATCATAAAAGAAAAAGAAAGGGGAGTGTTTTTTGGGTACACCTCATTTTTCATAAATGAGAGCGTCCTGAGTAAAAGGACAAAGAAACCTGTGTTAGTAGTCTAAAAGTAGGGGCATTTTTGTCTTTTACTTTATATTCTTTTTATTTTTTAATTGACAGTCTATACCTTTATTAAAAATAAGATCTTTTCTTTGTGAACTTTATAAAAAAAAAAAAAAAAAAGTTGTGCTGAAGCGTAAACAAGAGGGATTGAGGAAATGGGAAACGCTTTAGTGCACCCTACATTTCCTTTGTTTCGGTTTTGATAAACTAAAATCCCAAAATTGGTCAAAATGACTGATTCGACTCGATCAGTTGGACCGTTGATCTATTCTACTGTATACATAATATGATTTAACCCATTTAACTCAAATGATTGAACCGGTGACCCACAAATACAAATGATCAGTTTTTAAACCAGGGTGATTGATGAATCAAGAATCATAATCGTAACGGGAGGATACTAACAACATGATCTGATTACTCTAGAGATTTGGGACACCAGTGCGCATTTTGTTGGTCTGATCATATGGGGTGATGATTATTTTTACTCTTACTTTCTGTTTTGTTGGTCTTTCTCTGGGCTCACATCTGCGGTAACACATGTCTCAAAAGAAGTGAAGATGGACAAATAGGACTTTGATAGTTTTGATAGCCCCACCTCACCATACGAAACTTTCTATGTTGCTCTATAATMTATATACATATATATCACCAAATATTCAAAATCCTGGTAAAATCGCAACACTACAAAGAAAACGGTGCATGGAGTGACTAGCGTAGTGAGAGAGATTAAAATATTAAAGGGTGGTGGGACCCAATTAAATATTTATTTTAATCCATGGGATTCCTCTCTATCGAGACGGGATCTACTCCTCACACCTGGCGCTTTACATGCACATCCTACGCATTGGAATTTTTTCCGTATTTATTAATTATTATTTACGGGATATGTTCTCAGTGCACGGTAGATGTGCATGTGCAGTCTCCTCTCTGCCCCCTTTCAAGTTTCAACGAGCGTTTTGGATCTGATACAAACAAACACTGTTATTAAACATCTGCTGGCATGCATTACTGAGACTCTCTGAGCTCGTTGTGGTGAAAAAATAAAAAAGACAGCTAAAATTTACCACCATCCCCGCGAAACGTTGAAACTAGAATTAGAGTGAGGGACTGAGGGCGGAGGGGAAGTGGAAGAAATCCCCTTCACTTCACTGCTCGTCTCCACCATTGCATTGCATTGCTTTACCACTTTCGGCGGCACTCAGGCAGTCAGCAACTCGAATTTTCTTTTGCGGGTTATGATGGTATTATTGTTCATAGAAATCATTCATAATTATATGTAGCAGTAATTAACTTTCATTTTCCTTTTTTTTTTCTTTTGAATTTCTTCAAATTAAAGCTTTATTTAGAATTTTAGATGAGGGCGGGCTGTAACTTGCCAACTGGCAAGATCACACTTTACAGCAGAGGGCCCAACTGCCTTACAAAATCATTTCAATGAGCAATACAGTGGGTCAGATCAAATGTTTTAATGAGCATTCGATGCCTGCACATATTAGTATTGTCTCCCTTTTTTTTTTCATATTTGKGCTACTTTTTTAATTTTCATACACCTTCTGGCTATAATATATACAGATTATATATTGACAAACTTGGAATCCTTTCCATTTTGATTGGAAACAACTCCAGTTTGTGCACTATATATAATATATGTAGATCAGGAAGTATTAGTCAATTGTCAGAAATAGTAGAAGTAGTGTTAGTCAATTAACTAAACCATAAGGATAGTTTAAAAAATTTACCCAAAAATTAACTAATAGTAATTGATCAAAGTTTTATATATTTCTACTTTTTTTTATATGTAGAATAATAGAAAAGATAATTCTTTTTTATTTTTTTTGTTGTCGAACTTTAAATGATTTATGTTTAAAAACATAAATCAACTAATGTTTGGCTCAATTTATACCTTATCTAACTAGTTGTAGCATAGACTTGAGTTGGGGTAATGGGCTATATATCTCCCATTGTATAGCCCTATAAAGCCAAAAAATGTTCTTATTAGAGAGTAAACATGAATGTTATGAGAGACAAGAAAACATTACCTACAATGAGGGTTGTAGAATAACTCAACCCTCCTGTGAATTTTGAACATGCCAGTGTTTTAATTAGGCATCKGGTTGACATGATACTTTGCCTTTTTCACCCAACACTAGCGTGTTCAAAAATCAATGGGGCTCATTGAATTGTTTTGCGACTATGGTCATAGGTAATGTGTCTCATGACTAGGGGCGGAGCCAGAAATTCTTCATAAGGGGGCCAAAACCTAAAATGGATT